GGGGATTGAGCCTGAAACCCAGGCATGTGCCCTTGACTGGAATCGAACCCAGCACCCTTCAGTCCACAGGCTGATGCTCTATCCACTGAGCCAAACTGGCTAGGGCTATTTTTTTTTTTTAATACGAGCCCACGATTAAAAATACCTTTCTTCATTAAAAAAAAAATAAATTTCAAGCTCATTTGTCCCCGCTGGGGGCAAACTTCTTGTGAGGGTTCGTTTCTCAAGGAGAGGCTCTTCTGCATTTAACAGAATCATTAACATTGCCAGGGAGTCTCGCTTACCAGGGTGTAAATTCTGGAAAAGGTGACCAGTCCATCAGTGGACTCCGAATCCAACGCAAGAAGGTTGTTACTAATTTCTGTGTGGCTTTTGAAAATTCGTTGTTGTTTTTTTAACTTTTAAAACTTTTCAATTGCAGGTTACATTCAATACTATTCTCTATTAGTTTCAGGTGTGCAGCACAGTGGCTAGACAATCATGGACCTTAGAAAGTGGTCCCCCTGACATTTTAAGGCCCCACCTGGCCCCATACATAGTTATTATGATATTAGGGACCATATTCCCTTATGCCAGCGGTTCTCAACCTATGGGTCTCGACCCCTTTGGGGGTCGAACAACCCTTTCACAGGGGTCGCCTAAGACCATCCTGCATATCAGATATTTACATGACGATTCATCACAGTAGCAACATTACAGTTATGAAGTAGCAACGAAAATAATTTTATGGTTGGGGGTCACCACAACATGAGGAACTGTATTTAAAGGGCCAGAAGGTTGAGAACCACTGCCTTATGCTGTCATTTACATCCCTGTGACTATTCTGTAAATTCATGGGAAAGCTCAGGCGGGCTGTGAACTGTTCTCTATCAGGAGTGATATTCACCCTACAAATATTTATTGCACACCTACTATATACCACAAGCCCAGGCCCCGAGAAGACATCACTGTATATAACAAAGGGAGTACACCAACAGCACGTCGACCAGATTCAGCCTCAAAACATATTTCGTTTGACTCACACCGTATTTATCAAAAATCTGAATTAGTTGCCAACTTTTACGTATCAGAATGTTTTCAGCTTCTCTTGAAAACTCTGGAAATCTGGCGAAACGGAGCCCACATTCCCCGCTGATGACAAGCAGAGTAACAACTACCCACTTCAGACAGTCTGCCGAGGTCCGGGGTTTGGAATTCCCCGGCTCTCGGTTCACACAGCCCCCACCCGCCCAGCCCCTCCGCATCTGCCTCGGTTCTCGGGGTGGGCAGTCAGGGCACCCCGGCCCTGGCAAAGGCCTCACTCAGGGACACAGCGGTCCGAGCAGGCCTCTCGCTTCAGATGAGCTACTTCTGGCCTCCATGAGAACAGGTCACCGTGATTTTTTGATTTCGTGTCTTCTCAACTTTTCCCCTTTTTTTAATAGAGATTTTTTTAAATCCTTGGTGTTAAAGTTAGAGAAGACGTTCTGATCTTCGTGCTCACTGGAAGGAGGAACTTGACACAAAAGGAACGTAGCCAGGCTGACACATAGAAGCAGAAAGTGGGGACCATCAGAGGGGGGTGGCACTCAGGGATGCCGCCATTGGCCAGATGGAGAAGCTGAGGCCCAGGGAAGGAGAAGCCATGCCCGGTCCCACCACTGACCAGCGGAAGAACAGCGGCTGCTCTTTTCTTTACGCGGGGGTGGTTTCTCCGTCCCGTTTTCTGCTTACGTGTTTCCAAGGAGTGACAGAGGAGTCTTTCAAATCTGGGAAGAAACACAAGGAATGACTTTAGTAATATCAGGTACCGAAATCTAAGCGAAGCTGCAGAAGATTAACTAGTAATTTTCAGCGACATCTACTGATTCCCTCTAAGTCGGTGGTTCTCAACCTTCTGGCCCTTTAAATACAGTTCCTCATGTTGTGACCCAACCATAAAATTATTTCCGTGGCCACTTCATAACGGTAATGTTGCTACTGTGATGAATCGTCATGTAAATATCTGATATGCAGGATGGTCTTAGGCGACCCCTATGAAAGGGTCATTCGACCGCCAAAGGGGTCGCACGACCCACAGGTTGAGAACCGCTGCTCTAAGTAGATCAAAACGGTCATATTTGAAGAAATGTCGATCCCAGTAGATTCTGTTGGGAGAGGGAGCCTGTTTTCAAATTATATATTGCCAAAAATCTTCCCTGCCTTTGTAACCAGGAATAGAGTTAAGCAGGTTGACCCCGATATTTTTGCTAGTGGAAAGTTTTACTAAAACAAGTATCACTCACTTGCAACAAACATAAAGATACTGAGCAAAGCCTTCAATAGGACAGATTACAGATACTTATGTGGGCACTTGCCTGGGACGTAGATATTTTGGTGTATTCATTTATTTATTTAATTTTTTTAAAAGATACTTATGTGGGCACTTGCCTGGGACGTATTTTGGTGTATTCATTTATTTATTTAATTTTTTTAAATTGATTTCAGAGAGGAAGGACAAGGGAGAGAGAGATAGAAACATCAATGATGAGAGAGAACCATTGATCGGTTGCCTCCTGCATGCCCCCTACTGGGGATCAAGCCCACAATCCAGTCATGTTCCCTTGACCAGAATTGAACCTGGGACCCTTCAGTCCGCAGGCTGACGCTCTATCCACTGAGCCAAACCAGCTGGGGCTTGGTGTATTTATAATAAGCATATTGTGGCTACTCAATAATACTATGACCAAGAAATCTTCTGGTAACAAATGTAAATTAATTTTTTTAAAAATCAGTTTTACGTGCAGCAGAAAGGGAGGGAGGACAGCCATGTTTGCAGAACACACTGTCTTACTAGTATTTAGCCCTACCAATCTGCCCGGGGACAGTTGCACACCTCCTTTGAAAGGTGATGAGGACAGGAAGGCCAAGAACGCTGACTTCCTCAGCCAGTTTCCAATGGCTGGGAACCGGCTAGACCCAGGTCACTCTTAACTCCCAAACCTGAGCTTTGTCGGCTACAACTCACAGCACAGAAGCCACTAAGGTAACCGGTGACCACAGACGTTAAGACAAGGGCACATCAGAACGAGGCCAGAGAATGCAATCAGCACCGTAAGAGAGGCAGATGCAAGTGCTCAGGGGTCAGAAGAGGGCAAAAGCACATGGAGTGGAGAGCTGGTGGGCGGTGTCCCGGAAGGCTTCAGGGAAGAGGTGACATCCGAGAAAAACTTGGAAGGATGCGTGGTGTTACAACAGGCAGAGAAAAGAAGAGGAACAGAGGGGGGTTGGCACCAGCTAGATCAGTGGTTCCCAACCTTTCTTTGGCCACGCCCCACCTAAGCATCTCTAACATCCTGACACCCCCCGACCCCATGACATATAATTCTTATTATTCAAAAAGTGAACTCCTATTCATGGGGAGGAAGCCTAAAAGGCCATTAATTTGGTCTAAACAAGCTTCCAAAGAACATGGCATCCATGAAAGAGAAAAATAAAAGAACGAAAGGACAGTTGAAGTTCTGAGGAAGAAATCACCAAGAAATCGTTTTTAAAAATAATTATATGAAGTGATATGGAAAAATAGCAAATAAAGTTTCAAAACATAGGATAGAGAACTGAAATGTACAAATATGTCACCATATACTTACTAGAGGCCTGATGCATGAAATTCGTGCAAGAGTAGGCCTTCCTTCCCCAGGCTGCCGGCACTGGCTTCCCTCCGGCACCCAGACCAAGCTTCCCTCGCAGCCCCGGCTTCGTCCGGAAGGACATCTGGTCTAATTAGCATATTATGCTTTTATTATTATAGAACTAGAGGCCTGATGCACGAAATTCGTACAAGGGGCTCAGCCCTTGCAGCCTCAGCTTCGTCCGGAAGGACGTCCGGATGGACATTCGGAAGGTCGTTTGGCTGTCCAGTCTAATTAGAATATTATGCTTTTATTATTATAAATATACGTATACTAGTATAAGGCCCCTAGAACCATAATAAATGCGAAAAATTCACTGTTAATAACCCATTCCCGACTTGCCCCCCTATGAGGCGTGTGCCCCACGTTGGGAACCACTGAGCTAGATGGAAGGTAGGCAGCTGGGGTTTGGAATTCACAAAGCAAAGCTTCCTAAGTACATTAGCCACGTGAAAAAAATAACTCTTCCCAACTCCTGTCAGGCAGGGCCGAGTCCCTCACAAGGGGCCAGGCAACCTCATGCCTGCCAGAGAGGGCACAGGTGCTGCAGACCCAGGACAGTCACCTGGCCCCAATGTCCTGCACGTGTCCTGCCTGTGGAAGGGCAGCAGGGCCCGGCTGGACCTCACGAAGGCGCCTCCCCACCCCCACCCCACCCCCAGATAGCCACACTCTTCCACATGCACCCTTCTCTCTCCTTTTTCTCCTCTTCCTCCCAGAGGCCTGCATCTCTCCTAGCCCGAACCAGGCACTGTCTGTCTGACTGCAACTCCCTTTTCCTTCCATCTCCCACCATCCCCCTCAATCTCAGCTCGTAGAAGGCTTTTTTGTTTCCCAGGCAAGGCTCTGTTTCACCAGCAGCAAGGTGGGTGGGTGGGTGGTAAAAATCGGGGAGGAGGCAGCAGGAGCCCCCAAGTCCAGCCTTCAGAGAGCACCCCTCTAGGGAACTGCGTTTCCATGAGGTTCTGTGTCCGCCCGCCCGCCCACCCGGGTCCTGCTGGCAGCTGCGGCCCATCTCCGTCAGCTCCTGGGGGTCAAGGAAGCCGCCGGCTCCTCGGGGCAGGCCCTCCTCGCCATGTGCTCAGCGCCGGCGCTTGGCGTTTGAACATTTAATTTCATCTCATCCCCGGCACCCCATAAGAGGGGTGAAAATCTGATCCCGTTTACAGCCCAAGCACGCGAGGTGCAGGGAGCAAGCCCCTCGCCCTGGGAGCGCGG